CTCACCTGTAACCACATCCACACACTCACCTGTAACCACATTCACACTCTCACCTGTAACCACATTCACACTCTCACCTGTAACCACATCCACACTCTCACCTGTAGCCACATCCACTCTCACCTGTAGCCACATCCACACTCTCACCTGTAACCACATCCACACTCTCACCTGTAGCCACATTCACTCTCACCTGTAACCACATCCACACACTCACCTGTAACCACATCCACACTCTCACCTGTATCCACATCCACACACTCACCTGTAACCACATCCACACTCTCACCTGTAGCCACATCCACACTCTCACCTGTAACCACATTCACACTCTCACCTGTAACCACATCCACACACTCACCTGTAACCACATCCACACTCTCACCTGTAACCACATTCATACACTCACCTGTAGCCACATCCACACTCTCACCTGTAACCACATTCACACTCTCACCTGTAACCACATCCACACTCTCACCTGTAACCACATCCACACTCTCACCTGTAACCACATCCACACTCTCACCTGTAACCACATTCATACACTCACCTACAATTACATCCAGATACTCACGTTGCTTTGTTTTTAAAAGTTAATGACTACATGTACACTGCAGTGCTAACAACATATGTCTCCGTCAAATGGCAACTCACTACACCATAGCCTCTAAACAGCAGTGATGAACTCCAAAGTGAGCACGTGGAAATGGGAAACTGTTAAAGTCACATAACTGATAATTACTGCCAAGGATCACAGCTAAGAGCTCATAGGAAAAGCAAAGCAAAGCGAGGAATGCAGTGCAGATCACCTCCCTGTTTTTATCAACATAGCCGGGTTGCCAGGGCGTGCACTCTAGACTTTGTGAACATCAGCGAGGTGCAGGTTTGTCATGAAGATCGGGGCTCTGGAAGAGGCTCTGTGTTGTCTCCTCAAGTGAGACTGCGGGAGAAATGACTTCAGCGTGCAAGACACAGCTGTGTGAGTATTCTCTAAATGTACGCGTAGATGCACAGCACATTTTAGGCTTTTGCCAAAATGGCACAGAAGCGGACATGAACTATAAAACAGATCACTGAGCAATAAAAACGTAATGATTCGCTCAATTTTCTTTCTTGCCATAATTAATTCTCATGTCATAGTTTTACAATCACTGGCGTACAAAGTGTGCTAAAAGCAACAACAATAAAACAGTTATTCTTCCTAAAATGTCCAATAAATTAATAAGAACTATTATTTGGTGATACTGCATTCACAGCGGTGCACAAGTACACATCACAAACTCAACAACACTGTGGCCTCCAAGAGACAAAGTAGACAATAGACGACGTTTTGGGCAATGGCCCTTCTTCGCAGCACATGCCAGAGAGGTGGAGTTGACACGAGTAGCAGACACCACGTTATATACCATGGGGCCCGAGAAGAATACAATCGTAATGAACACTTTTTAGACAATCCACTTGGTGGATTACATCACTCACAGTGAACCCAGGAAGCCATCGCTAAGTGAACTATGAAAAACCTGTTAATCAGAAATTTTTAAAATAATGTTTATTATTTTATGCAGTTCGAGGCCCCATGGTATATCACGTAGTGTCTCCAACTCGTGTCTACTCCACCTCTCTGTGTGCTGTGAAAGGCTATTTGAAAGCCAAAGTGTAATTGACGATTGTGGTTAGTTTTTTTCCAATTAAAGAATGCACTGCTCATCACATTGCCCTTTATTAGCGCAATTAATTTGCACAAATCTTTACTTAAAGCTTTCGTGACTGCAGGAATTAATATTCTTTGGGTCTTTCGATAAAGCCACGTAGATATAATAATAAAAATATCACGATGTTTCGATCGCAACACAAGTAATCGTCTTCATTTGATTACGCGCTTAAAATCGAAACACGTTCCAAGGCGGAGTAGCTCAAACTAAAGTCACCGCAGCTGATTTTTAATTAGATTTAAAGCTTTCGTGACTGCAGGGATTCATCTTCTTGGTTCTTTCGGTAAAGTCACGTAGAAGGGAAATAATAAAATAATAAAACATAATAAAATACAATTCTCACGACGTTTCGGCCACAACGTAAGCAGCCGTCCTCAGGTGAAGAACAGGTCTGTCGGAAAGACAGCGTCTGAATAAGCACCACCAAGCTTGGCAGTGTATATTTAAGCTGGGTTGGAGGGGGAAGGGCGCCTTGACAAAGGAATTTGCATATCAAGAGGAATTCTGCATATTTATGGCAAATGCAGATATGGGATTAGTCACTACTTGTGGAATGCGTAGGAGGTGGGGGGGCTTTCAAAGTCATATTATGCCCGTGTGTTATGTAGGATTAGCAGCATAAAAGGGAGGGAGGAGGGTTAGCAGTAATAAAGGGAAGGAATTTTAATAGTAAGGAGCTGCAGCAGCTAAACCACCACGTAAACAACTAAAATATAAACTACCTCAGTATCATCAATATACTAAATATACTCTCCAATAATATGACTTACTGTTAGTAGCTCAGCTTATTGGAGAGTAACCCCCCCCCCCCCCCACCTCCTACGCATTCCACAAGTAGTGACTAATCCCATATCTGCATTTTCCATAAATATGCAGAATTCCTCTTGATATGCAAATTCCTTTGTCAAGGCGCCCTTCCCCCTCCAACCCAGCTTAAATATACACTGCCAAGCTTGGTGGTGCTTATTCAGACGCTGTCTTTCCGACAGACCTGTTCTTCACCTGAGGACGGCTGCTTGCGTTGTGGCCGAAACGTCGTGAGAATTGTATTTTATTATGTTTTATTTTTTATTATTTCCCTTCTATGTGACTTTACCGAAAGAACCAAGAAGATGAATCACCGCAGCTGCTTCGTTACACACTCGGAAGTGACACACCGGTTAGCTTTATTGAACACCACATTTTTGGCAAACATGACCCACAGAGGGAAAAAAAAACCTCCCACATTCATAGCTAGGAAATCAATGCACCGGCTAGGGTGAGTTGAAAATAAAACATCTGCATGCATACCCTCTACAAACCGCAGAGAGATTTTATTGAATACAAACGCAAACCATCGCTGCAATTTGATGCCAAGCAAGACCAACATTACGGTTCACAATAAAATCATCGTGCCCCAAAGACAGAGCTAATTTATTGTGCGAATCACTGTTGCTCTCCATAGCCAAGGGTGTTGGTTTCCATATAACGGTCCAGCTAATTGGGGTCACTTATGAAAGGCAAATGCCCAATCGGCAGTATCCATCCCTACATTCATCACTACGACAACAGGAAAACACGAGGAAACACGCACCACGCGCCAAACAAATACATTTCATTCGAAATTGCAAAGCGGCAGCTTCTCAGGCCACTTGCTCTGTTTGTGGATGCACTGCCATTGGTCTACTTCCTCCCTACACTTATATGCAATTAGCCAAGATGTCATAATTAAATGCATGCCTAATCACTAATAATTTTGAGACTCTTGGTCTGTATCCAGCTGCCGTCATCTTACCATGGAAAATACGATAACATTCTCGCTTATGATGAAGACCAGGCTCATCCTATTAAAAATGAGACACACACCACCCGGCATGGAAAAAAAATATTTGCTTTAAACATTATGGTTCAGGATCCCAGCAACAACTGTCCTGATATCTATTTGTAACATCCCAACGCTGATGATTGAGCCATCTTCACCCATTGCACTTTGCTGGGATTGTCAGAGGCGGGGGAGCTGCCAGTGATACTGGGGTCATGACCCCATGACCAGGGAGCTCCTGAGAGACACAAAGCGCAGATTATCATCTCCTCGCACACCGCCAGTGTCTCTGCCTGCTGAGCCGTCGGGAAGACCGAGAGTCAGCGAGTCCCCACGATCAAATTGAGCGCTCATCTCTACTGGCAAACCTGAAGCACTGGCATACATTCCACATTTTCATGGTAAGGGCCAGTCTATCCATTGTATGATCACTGTTGGCTTCCCAAAGACGGTACTCATTATGAATAGCAAACAGATAATGATCTGAGGTGACCCCCAGCTGGGATTTGCACTGCAACCTTCCGCTTGTAAGTCATGCGCTACAAGGGCAGTCTCACAAAGCCAGAAACTATATATTTTAAATGTGAGTGTATATTTACATATGAACAGTTTTAAGTGGCCGATTTTTTTGTGAAAAAAAAGTATACGAATTTGGGACCTTTAGTGATGTTTTCATAAACTTAAAACTAACCACGAGTACTGTAAGAAGCTTAATTTTAATTGCAGATCTGGGAACTCTACACTACCAAAGCAATTCAACAAAAGCTCCGTTGTATTTTGTCCATGTGTGTTTGCAGTACTTTGCAGACATCCTTATTAGGGTAGCTTTGTATTTCACATTCTACCACTCCGTTCTAATTAAAACAGCACGTCATCAGCAACGCAAACAAGACCTTCCATTTTAAGGGAAAAACGATCATCTTGAAAAAAACCCTCCCATTCATTGAATAAAAACGTTAATTGCTTGCACGGGAAAATGTTCGCAGTAGTCAAGGGTGAGCACGTTTTCACCGCTCATTTGAGGATAAAAAAAACCTCTCTCAAGTGGCCGCCGGCTTCACAAACGCTGACAACACAAGCGTCCCTCCTTTGGTACATCGACGGCACAAACGTGTCGTTATTCTTTGCTCGCACGACGAGCCCGGCTCTCATGGCGGCACCGAGGGGCATTCAGCGGCGCACAAAGCACGACGTCCCGGCGCGGCACTCGGAGCGGGCGGCCACCCTCCGCTGGCTCGCAGCGGAATCCTCTGCCGCACGCTCCTTCCACAGCTGATTGTGCCCTCGATCGTCTCGCACAGCGGGGGCCACAGGGCTCGCATTGGCCCCTCCCCTACAGAGGTACTGGATGGGGGAGTGTGTGGTGGGGGAGTGTGTGGTGGGGGGGCCCACGCCTTATTCGGGACCAACGAGTTCCAGTTACTCACAGGATGGGAGGCGCTTGGACAACTGTGACCGAGGGGCCCCAATGAGTAAAAAAAACGGACGCCACATTACGAGTAGAAAGAGAGAGAGAGAGGGCTCTCAATGACTGGGGCTGCAGGGTGGATGGATGCGGGGGCTGGCTGCTCGCATGAAAACGCGCGCATTCCTGCGCGGCTGTCATGTACGCTGAGGCTGTGAGTAGGAAGGGCTCATTGCTTTGGGCTGAGCGCAGGAGGAGCGTTGCGCTCAGTGGCTCCCGCCGGTGGTGAGCAGAAACGACGGGGGCTCGGGGGCACGGGGGAGACTCGCAGAGATCCCGAGCGTGGAGCCACGCGGCTCCAAAGTCAGTGCAGCGCCAGGACTCGGGAAGGAGGAATGACAATCAGTGAGTGCGTCTGACCGAAGACCCGAGATATATTATTATACTTATATATGTGTGCAAAGAAAACAAGGTATTGCAGCCAACAAACTATGTATACTTTAAATATAGAAACTATATTTCGGAATGATAGTAAAACATATTAAACTATACTCTAATCGATGCCAAATTCATATTAATTGTCAACTGTAAATAACAGCAAAATTTATTGAAATATGCATTGTGAAGTAATTGAAAGAAAATGCCGCTAGCCGCTGACATCGCAATCGAGTGACTCCGACGTCCAGCTGTATTTCCAGCAGCCGTATGAACACGTTTATGTTGACAGGCCTGTAAGCTCATCACCGTCCACGCATCGGCATGGCTCTCCGAAGACTGCCCGGGGTGCTACCGCCACAGCTTGCACCGGTGGCACCGCTGGCGCTGGCGCTGCTGCTGTGCGCCGGGGTCTGCACGCCGGCCTTCCCGCCCTCGCCACGGAGGTCGGCGCTGGGCGAGCTGCCCCCCGGCGGCGGCGGCGGCGGCGGCGGGCGGCGCTCGTTCCACCGCGTGCAGCACGGCTCCTGCGTCTACACCTTCCTGCTGCCCGAGGTGGACGGGTGCCGGGCAGCCGCGGCCGAACGGGGGGGGGCAACGGGCCCTGCCGCCGTCGCCGCCGCGGCGTCCCAGAGCGGCTACGGTGGCAACCCCAACGCGCTGCCGCAGCGCGATGCGCCAGCGTCCGCGGCGACCCCCGAGACCGAGTGGCCGCAGCCTCGGCTCCAGCAGCTGGAGACTTTGCTGGAGAACAACACGCAGTGGCTGCGCAAGGTGAGGCCGCGTGGGGCCCTCGGGCACGCACGCGCACGTGTCGCCAGGGATGAATTCCTCGTGAAAGACTAGATGAGCCTGGTCACCAGCTGCCGCAGCCATAGGAGGAGTTATTCTGGATACGGTAATGGGTCGTTATCCCAGACGGACCCAGCTAAGTTTAAGCCCTGCGCTTCGCTAAATACAAGCGATCGTAAATTTTACAACCAATTTAATCGATGAAATTTACGACAACTTCATCATTTATCCTGTCCAGGAGTGACATCTGAAAAGGTTTCTTTCGAATGTCTTTTTCTCGGAAAGTTGACAATTAATGCAATCATTAAATGTTTGATTCCACTATAAATGTGCGAATGAAGCGTCATTTAAAATCAGTTAATTGTACAAGCAAGGTGCGCTGCATGGTACACGGTAAAGGCTGACTGGCACGCATTATCCACCAAAAACAACTCCTGTTAGGTACTCATTTTGTTGACATTTGCTCGGCTGCAACTTAGATGGAATCTCTTGAGCAGCCCTCACCTACAGCTGGACTAGGCGAGCAGGTGCAAGCCTGGTTTGTGTGAGTTAATATTAACCGTGGAGGCAACGGTACTTTTGGCACGCATGCTTGCACAGGGGCTACGCACCGCATTTATGAATGCAAGAAGGCTTTGATTATATTACACATGCATTTTTCAATGCGCATTCCACAAAGCAGACATCACATCGTAATGCACGCAAACACGGCGGAAACTTCTAACATTTGCTAAAAGGGAAGCACAAAACTTAGAATCCAAATTGACCTTTACCCGACTGAAGCATCCACGTTGCACAATTAAGATTTGGTTATAAGACATTTCAGAATGTCGGAGAAGCCTGTTCGATGCATATCTTGGTTTGCTACTCAGAAATATAAGCCTGAGATGACAAAAAATAGTTGTTTAAATGATAGACGTAATATTATTATTATTTATGAGACACTTAGTAATGGTTCATTTTGGAAGATACAGGATATTATTTTCATCAGCTACTGCAACCGCAAGCCCAAGACTTAATCATTAAACTCCCGCAACCTTTGCACGTCCAGTGATGCTGTTGTTACAAAGCAAGGCACTGAAATCCTGACTCACACACGAGATGTCACGAGACCAGCCGGAAACACTCGCCAGCATTCAACTATTTCAGGAAATATTCAATTCGAATATTTTGAGGTCAGTAAAGTACTTATTATCGTAATAAAAAGCAAAGCGTTTCTTTACTTGGAAAAATAAACACAACCGAAGGAGTGTGCTATCAAAGTAGAGGCAAAGCGCGGTGCTATTTGTCTCTAAGACAACACCGTCACCTGCAGGTGCCACGCTGGCTGCGCCACACCGCGGCGGAGCCCCGAGTGACGCTCCGCATGCACACTCCGGACAGGTCCCCGCATGCACACTCCGGACAGGTCCCCGCAATCTGCACAAATCATCGCCGGGGCTGCTTTCACAGTCCACGGCCTCTCGTACTGCTCGGCAATCATCGCGCCTGCGCTGTATCCCACTCACTCTGGCCGACTCCGTGCGGACAGGGTCCAGATTTGAGAGTTTGTCAGGCACCGAGCTGCTGGGGTTCATTACTTTAACGATTACTTTGCTGCGGTCGCCTCTCTCATTGGAAGCCTCACTGTCTTAACGAACCCATGCCTGGTAAGTCCTGAGAATAAGTGTGCCCGGGAGATATGTTTCATACCACATGTCCCTGTAGCGGTTGGCTATACAATGGTTTAGTCTGTCTCTGCAAGGAATCTTTCCTTTTGAAGTCCTGGGGTTCGTGTGCGCGCTCGTGTGTACGAGCGTGCACGCGTACATCTGTGGGGGTACGAATGTGTGGTCAACTGAAGTTTTATTGGCCAGCTATCAGGTGAACTATTAAACCCACCACAGGAAATGTCCCACGTAAGGGGATCATTATTACATTTTGAGAACCCCGCGTGTGTAACGCCGGAAAGCTCCCCGGCACTTGTTGGCGCACCGCTGCAAGAGCGGCATCAGGTGCTGACACAGCACGGTGCCACACCGTGCCACCTCCACCCACGTGCCTCAATGGCAGAGCAGGCGGCTCGCAATCGGATGGTAGCGAGGTCTAACCCTTATGGGGGGGGGGGGGGGGGTCGCTCAGCCCGTCGTCCCTCCGGGGTTGTGTGAAGTCAACGGTAACTTATCAAGTGGAGATAACAGCAACTGCCAAAGGAACGTGGAATTTCCACCACAAGCTAAGGGCTGCAATGAGATGCGTGCTGCCGAATGCTCATTGTAGCACAGAAACAGTTTGACCTCTGCTGATATGGTAGTGTTGATTGTAGCACGTGACTAAACGCACAACAAATAACGAACAAAGCCAAGGTTGTTTGTGTGAGCGGCCACGCTTGTCGAGCGCCACGGCGCACGGAGCAACGCGCTGAAGTGCGAAAGCACGCAAATCAACTATCTTCTTTCCCGACACTGACGTGCGCTTAAGATTCCTTGGTTTATTTGGATTGTCAAAGAGTTTCAGCATTAAATCTTGATCTTAACCTACGACTTTGACAATACAATTCTTTTCAGCTCAAAGCCCCATGACAGAACCACACAGTGCATGTTTATAAACGCGAAACATAAAGCGTAGAGTCTAAATCAACGCTGACGCGGGAGCTGTTGCCACCATGCCGAACAGAGGGCCTCCTCCCCACTCTGCGTGTCTTGCACGTTGTGCCCATGTGCAGTACACTGCTCAGTATAATATTCGAAATAACAAATCCCTCCTTGTGTAGTCTTCGAGACCATTGGGGTATGGGCTGTTAGTGAGCACCTGTTAAGGCCAGCACAGCGTGCGATGGCAGTGGTGTGGCCAGCTCACATCAGGGAACCTTTCTCTCATCAGTGCCGATGTTTACGCAGCGCCAGGAAACCCGTTTAACGCCGAGGCCGGATGTTGTTCCTGGCTAGGACTTAAATCCAGGTAACCAGGATCACAGGGTAGCCTGGTGTAACATATATTACAATACACACACACATGCACATAGGAATGTATGTATTTATTTTACATACAATACTGATTATTAATTGCATTTTTTAAAGTCACAACTTACAAGTTATTGTATTTGCAGTTTCTTTTTCAATATATATATAGATATTGTTATAGTGGGATGCAGAGGCGCACACTGCTGCCCCGTAAAACAATTAGACGGCGTATCTCAACGTTTAGTCATCGACTAATTGTGGGATTTTTCACGAGAGTAAAATTGTAAAAAACAAACAATTAAAGATGTATATTTCATTTTAGACACATTTAATGAGTTAGTCACTTTAAGAATGCAGGCAGAATTGAATATTTAAAAGTCACATGTAAACAAAGATTTGTTTGCACATGAGCCGAACCTCGAGCTGGGTTGATTGGCCGATGGTTTTTATAATGGACGGAGGTTTTGTCGTAAAGCGCCCTGGGGATGCACGCGTGCAGAGTGCTCTTTACAGAAACTTGTATTGTACTGCGAGTGAGGGAAACCACGTCCCATTGGGGGGGATGCTTGGGACAAACATAACGGGCAAGGAGCGGAACGTTGCGCTGGGTGCTCCATCGCTGGGAAGCACGAGGAGGGGGAGGAGTGAGAGGCAGGGAGCTCCAGCCAGTGAGTGTGGCTGGTCAGCATGACCGGTGAGCGTGGCCGGTGAGCAGTGGCCGGTGAGCGTGGCCGGTGAGCGTGGCCGGTGAGCGTGGCCGGTGAGTGTGGCTGGTAATTGTGCTCATGCACCCAGTCCAGGCTACGTCGCACCCCAAGCCTCGTGTACGCAGGCTGTGCCCCCAACTCCGCACATGCTCCTAACGTCGCACAGCAATAGCACGGACACAATGCACGCGCTCGTGCGTACACGGAGTGATTACAAAGCCACAACGTACACGTTTGTGAGATTGGGCATGATGTCTAGAGACCGATGGTAGTGAGTGAAATGTAACAAGACGTTAGAAAGCGACATTTATATCTCATCTTTCAATCAAGGAATATTTAGAGACACATTAGAATGTACGGTATGAAATCGATGCTTGCTACTGGGTTACAACCTTAGGTTTAAAAACCACAAATCAGATGTATAATTTTAATTATGAAAAATGAAATGCAGAAATTACACCGGAAATAATTTGGTATTCCAATACATCATTTACCTAAACTTGGTTTTCATGCAAAGTGGAAGACAGGAAGCAATGTAATTAACCGCGCGAACCGCATGCCGCGTAAATCTGGCTGCGTACCGTGGGCTGCGCCACAGCGTACCTGGGAACGTTTTGGGTTAAGTTTCCATTCCAACATCCAAGACCTCTGCCAAGGTCACCGGCACTGCGGGCCTCGTCGCCCCCTGTGCACGTTGCGGGAACGCTATTTCGCTGCTTGACTCTCTGACTTCGGGTAACAAAAAAATTTCCAAACGAGGCCCTGCGCTTCAAAGACGTGCCAGGCGTGTCAAATTGCACAAAAGCACCAGAAAGGTCTCACATCTCTGGTGCCAGGCATGGCCAATGCCCACACCCCCCCACCCCTCCCATAAAATAGGAGTGCGCGCAGTACTGGCCTGGCAACGGGCGAGTGACATTTTCTCTGGAGCCTTTGTGATGGTAATGATGAATGGTACAGCAGTGCGAGAGACCCCGGGGAAACCATTATAAGCCGAGCAACAGGACTCCAGCCACACACACATTACCATCCAAAAATAGGCTCCGAAATGTGGAAGCTTAGCTATTCATAAATTAGTTCTACCCCTTTCGCCGCGTTATTATGTTGCAGTTATAATGCTTTAACTTATACCCTGAAAGTAACAGTGTGATGGCTGCATTACTCTGTCAAACGCAGGCAGTGGTGACGCTAATCATACAGAATTCAGCGTGGATACGATTTTAACTGAAATCCACTTAGGAACAATTATATTTTTTCTCTTCTTATTACAGTTTGAAAGGTTAAACTAAAACATTCCCCAAATATTATTAAATTTGGGGCTTTATACGACTGT